GCCCGCTGTTCACTGCTTTGGAGTAGCTGTAGCTCAAGCTGACTTGACTCTAAGAGTTCTACATCACACGACAGTTGATTGACAAATGGTCCAGTGGGACCTAAGGCTCCTTTTATAGCGTGCCTTCATGTTTAAACTGCTGTCTAAAAGTAAAATTTAAAATCCAAGCTTTTGCCAATCAATGGCATTATCATTGTTGTTATTTTTAATATTATAATTACTATTTTCTCCAACATTATTTTGGAATAATTCTTTAACCCTTTAAATCCTAAGAATGGGTAGCATCTAATTTCTCCTCACCATAACACTATTGAATTATTAATTAAACCTAAAAAGCATTGATTGTTAAACAAAGTCTTCTAGTCAGTGCAGTGAGAAAGGTATAGAGGAGTGTTTGGAGAATATGGATTTTGATATCAGAGTGTAAAAGGTTATAGGATGCTGACTAATTTCAACACAGTGTTCTTAGACTCTAGCCATTGGAGAATTCATTAGCTACAACTAAAATTCAATGGCTTGGCAAACTCTGCCTGAATTGGCTTGCAAAATAGCAGCAATCACTAGCAGGATAAATTTGCTTTGGTAAAAGTACAAAAGGAACTTCTCAGATTATTCCAGTACATGCACAATGGTTCAATATTACATATTCTAATTATTTGAGTTGCCTCTATTTTGCCTCTGTATATTTGATGAATTATTATAATAATAGAACATTGTATGAAACCATCTGAAACCTTCTGCCAGTGCTGTAGCCTGTGGTTTTGTTTTTACCCACAGAGTGTATTTTTTCCCTTCAACAGGCCTTCATGCTGAGCTCTTACAGAAAGATAAGAGTAACAAACATACAAGTTACATAGCAGGTACGTGTAGGCTTACAAAGTGTTGCTGACATAATTCAAAGACTTTTAATTTAAAACTAAGTATTTTTACTTGTTGTTTCTACTTTGTTTCATCTTTCAGGCTCATCAAAATACATGTATGACACAACTTGTTAAAATGATTAGCCCAACTACACATCAAAATGTTTAATAAGATATATTTAGTGTTTAGTAATAATGAGATGTTAAATGTAGAATAAAAAAAACCTAAAAAAAAAATAGATATATGCTTCTATTCTTATGACTATGAATGTTAGTTTGTAGAACAGTTTGGACATCTCTTGTAACCCTTTCACTCCGTTGAATGACCAAGACAGAATTTCTCCTTACAATATCAATACAATATCAAGCAGACAAGTGATGAGAATAAAGAAATATATCAATTAGGAGATTATTAGTTGATCCAATACCAAATTCTTTGAACAAGCATCACAGGAATTGTATGGCAGACATTAACAAGAGACCAACTTGGTTGCTTCTTTCCTTCCAAGTTGATTGTAGCTTCAGTTTTAAGACCACATTTCTTCCTTTGCATAATTCTTATCGTACAAATTTAAGCATTCTGCTTTTAAGTTAATCAATATTCTATTTTTTCTTTATTGCTGAATTGTTTTTATTGTTTAACTTCTGGTAGCATTTAAATATATTTATTACACAACTCAGGCAGTCAGAGGGCCATAACTAAAATTGACCAATCAAAATGCTCTATTGCCAGTCAATATTCTCTCAGTATTGGACCGGGCACTGTCCCGAATGGTCCTGAATGATACTGCACTTGTGTCCCTTTGAAATTCAGTC